TGCATTTACAACAGAGCTACCCAACTGCTCCTATAGCTCACAAAAGAGATAGTCACGATATGGTTGAAATATTGCCGATGTGACTTTAAATCTTAACTCACTCACTCACTCACTCACAAAGGAGAAAATTACACTACTCAGTCTTCCGATGGTGCATGAGTTTACATCAAAATGGCTGCTATGAGTTGAGATTGTTTTCAGAGTAGTTGTGTAGGAAGTGTTGATGTTGTCTCTGATCACAAGGCTAACATGTGGATTTTTCAACAGGAATACTCAAGACCTTTTTAATATTTGTATTCTATTAATTATTTTTCTCACTTAATGGAGACCAAGCCTTTAACACTGAATAAAAATCACTATGTTTATTTACATTTCAATGACAGACTGACATTTCTGACTGAAAATGTCATTTTTTATTGTATAAGTTGTTTTCGTCACGATATGGCTGAGATATTGCCGATGTGACGTTAAATATTAACTCACTCACTCACTCACTCACTGAAAATGTCAAAACCAGAACAAAACAACTAAACAAAAAAACACTTAATTTTTCTAAGCAAAAATTGATGACACGCTGAAATTTGTATGTGACAACTTGAAACACTAGAGAAAGAGAACAATACCATCAGTGACATAAAGGAATGCTTGTGTAAATAGTGACAGTGGAACCCATCGTCTGGAACTCCAGGAACCAGAGAAATAGTTCAACATCTTGGATTTGTCTGTCTACATTATTATCATCTAGCTAGGAGACAACAAAAAGCAAATGTATTACATTGCGTATGTGACATGAGACATTTATATAATCAGAAATAGAAATGGAACCCATGACATTTATCTGCGTATTGACCGACTAACTTCACCTAGCTGGAGAGTGCTGCATTAAAAACACACAAACAAACATTATCACATGACATGATTCAATAAAACAAGTAATGAAACATAGGAATGCGATATAAATCAGTTTCTGTCATCTTATCATCCACGCAATCAGAAATCCAAACAAGTTTTCTCTGCAATAAATTTTGTTAACAAACTATAACCATCAGAGGTATTAATAATTAATGTCATCCGATGGGCTTTTTACTTTTTTGTCTGATTGTTTAGGTTGAAATTTATTAACACACCCTTTGTAACTTTTACATCTTTATGGCTAACCAATCAGAAATGCATATAGATACTGACTCAAAGTTTATTTCTCCTGTTCTTACAGACAGTAGTAGCCTGGTCTTTTGTCAGGCTTAGTTGCATTAGTTTGCAAACTGACTCACAGCACATATAAAAACCCTCACAGTGTTGGACAGCAGGGTAACAAACAAAGCCTTTTGCCTTTTAAATATATTGAAAAAAGTCACCCAATGAGATCAGAATTGTATGTACCTTTGGAAAATCTAGATTTGACCCTTTAGGGTTCTAGCTTGACAGTAATGGCTGGCGGAAGGAAAATAATCTGGGTCAGGGACTGAGAGACAGACTAGGTAAAATTAAGGGAGATAACTCTCATCTGAGGCCATCTGACAAAACAGGAAATCAATTTTTATCAGCCTTAGAAACGTTTCCCCCATCAATTCCCATTTTGGTTTATTCCTAGCATCATGAGCTGATGGCATCAGAGGTGGTACTGCGAAGTTACAGGTTCCGAAGCCGTTTGTCTATGATGATTTCAAACCATTATTGCCAATGATAGCGATTGGGTCCCCTGTGATAGAGAGACATTATGAAAGAGTGTTATTATCAATTTTGAAATATTGTCATTTGAGGCAATTGTTAGTGGCGGTGACTCCCATGAATATTTTGCATCTGTCAGATTGGCTGATCTGTATTGATGCTTGTGTTGATGTATTGCGATGGCTAGACAGTAGGGGTCAGAGGTCAGTTTCAAAGGGCAAAAGGTCATTATTCTTGTCATTTCCTTTCTTTTCTTAGTAAGGTTGTGAAACATACATCGGCAAAGTGGGAAAAGTCCTTTTGTCTACTGTCGATTAACTTCTTAAAGGGGGAGCATCATATAATATTGACGTCAATTACGTTTATTTCTGAGAATTGTTTTTCTGAGGTGTATTTTGATTTATCATACCTTACACATATAATGTTAGATTTTGATTGGCAGACAGACAGACAGGTTTATTGGGTAATTTAGGCCCAAGGTCCATAATACATACATTTGGCAAAAGTAAATACATACTGATTAAAGATGAGTATAGTTTAGTATTAATTAATGTCATATTTATTTATTCCTTATATGGCAGATTTTGATTGGGTGGTACACTTTCTACAAATTGAACCTGTGAAAATCCTGGTTAGAATTGGTCTTCAGCATCCAATTCTTGTCATCGGTTGTCAGGCTCACTGACTTGGTAACACATGTCATCGGGTTGTCAGGCTCACTGACTTGGTTGACACATGTCATCGTATCCCAAATGCGTAGGTTGAAGCAGATGCTGTTGATCACTGGATTGTCTGGTCCAGACTTGATTATTTACAGACTTCCTCTTTATGGCTGGAATATTGCTGGGTGCAGCGTTAAGCAACATACAAACTGCAAATTGACTTTTTTTCTGTATGGCCTCAATAAGCGCTCCTAATGTAAATTTTCTTAGCTCCAGGGTTGCTTTGATTACACAATGCCATTTAGAAAGTGGTCAAATGTAACATAACTTCCACGGTGGCTGAGCGGATTAGGTGGCAGACTTTGTGTGCTGGCGATTAGGTGGCTGACTCTGAGGGTGTGGGTTCGAATCCCGGATGGGACTCAACCAAACAAAAGTACTAGAATCTGTACTTTACTAAGAAAGTGTAATCCCAAATATAACATATGTTACCAAGGGTGCTTGTGATAAATACGGTCACCATTTAAGGATGAAGTTTTGTGATCTGAAGTAAAAGATTATCACTCACCCACTCTACTTCAAATGTCACTTCACTCACGATCCCTATTTGAAATATTGCATAAAATGTTAATTATTCAGAAGAATATAATTTAGGGAAAATCAAATCATCCCTGCCCCTTTAAAAGACACAGGAACACAAATGAGCGTGAATCCATCATTGATGCAGGAGACGAGAGTCAGTAGCTGATCAGTCAGTCCCCAGAGAGAATTCAGATGGCCATGATTGATGCCAGAAAAATTAATATGTAGGGATAAACTGACAGCCATTCTCTTTATCCTACAGGCAAATGTGACACGTATCTTAACTTTCAATATGATTTCATTTCAAAACTATTTTAATTCTATCACAATTTGCTTCCTCGGTGACAAAAGTTTGACTTGCTCCAGGGAATAATTCTTGCCTTATATTTCATGAGTTGTGTCAAGGAAATTAAAGGGCAGCGGGTTAGTAAGTCATTAAAGGGCTGGCGAGTAAGGTAAATGTCCCGAGTTTGATTCCTCTCGTGAGTGCAATTTTTAGTAAAGTTTTCCCCTGCTGGAACAGGGCTGCATTAATGGCTGTAAACATCTTCTTTATTGTTTGTAACAGCCATTCTTGAGTACTTCATCTGATGAAGAAGTAGCGGGTATTGTCGTTATATACGTCTTTGACACAATAAAGAAGTCATTATCCTTAAAAGTTTTATGTCTTTGAGTTCTCCCAGCTTCTAAATGCCCATCGAAGACTTAATGTTTAAGATACCCGCTCACTGTAGAATTTAAGGTTAGTGTGCAGTAGCCTGGGTTAAGAATATCTCATTTACTGTATAAAAAGTTGCTGCTATTCAGTGAGCTTGTTATCTTGCACTGGCAGTATGAGTGGTGGAAGGGAGGTAACTCTAATACATAATAACACTCTATCGGTAAATCTTGTAGAGATTGTATGTGGGCTTCACTGGTATGTTTCACACAGGTTTTATAGGGCTGATGGTTGCCAAATTTGCTTTGTGGCAAATATTTTGTTTTACTTGTAGTCAAATAGTCAGAAGTGGAAGATTTCACACTGTGGAAGAGTGTACCTGTATCCTGGCATCATCTGTTTTAGCTGACATGCTCATTGAAAATAAACGAACATTAGAACAGTTATAATGTGGTACCTACATGTTAAATATTCAGAAGCTTCCCATGTTCTGAGTGTGACGGAACACTTTGGAATTAAGTCTGAATGGCCTCAGGTAGATATATCCCTGGTGATAGATTCCTTGTTTGCCTACCTACTGGCTCGCTTCTCACTCACCAGTATGTCTGTTTCTGTTGACAACAGTGGTCCTCACTCACTGTCTTTTTCTCTCTCTCTCACCCACCCACCCATTCACTCACTCTCTCTCTCTCTCTCACCGACCCAACCACCCACTCACTGTCTCTCTCACCCACCCACCCACTCACTCACTGTCTCTCTCTCTCTCATCCACCACCCACTCACTCACTCAGTCTTTCTCTCACCCACCCACCCACTTTCACTCTCTCTCACCCACCAACTCACTCACTCACTGTCTCTCTCTCACCCACCCACTCACTCACTCTCTCACCCACCTACCCACTCACTATCTCTCTCACCCACCCACCCACTCACTCACTGTCTTTCTCTATCACCCACCCACTCACTCACCCACTCACTGTCTCTCTCTCTCACCCACCCACCCACTCACTCACAATCTCTCACCCACTCACTGTCTCTCTCTCACCCACCCACTCACTCACTGTCTCTCTCTCTCTCGAGCCCCCATTCACTCACTCACTCACTCAGGTAGTCAGGCTCTCTTGTTTGGTTGAAGTATGTCATCATATCCCAGGTCCACATCAATACTTGTAATGTCAGTCACTGGGTTGTCTAATCCACACTCGATTATGTTTGGACTTCGCAATAAACTGAAAATTGCTGAGTGTCAGTAAACATGAAGCCAACCTCGCTCATTGCGATCACAATATTGTGCACCCTGGAGCGTATTAAATCACAATGATTGATTGCTTCCCTTATTTCACTGATTGATCATTTGAATGTCAAGGATCAACTTCTTCAAGTCGACAATGGGAGATTGGCTGACAATATAAAACAACTCAACAATAGTATAAAAATCAGTCAACTTTTATTGTCATACATCCTGTTAAGTTATCAGCCATACATGAACTCGTGATATATTTGTGTGTTGCATAATCTGTACAGACATAGTCTTGGTTATCACAATTCCACTAGATATTAGGATGAAGCAACATCGGTATCTCTAGGCAAGACCTTTAAGAAAGGTTTGTTTATACAATCTGGCAAACTAAAAAATTAAAAGATGAAATAGTGAGTGAGTGAACGAATTTAGTTTTACGCTGCTTTTAGCAATATTCCAGCAATATCACGGCAGGGGACACCAGAAATGGGCTTCACACATTGTACCCATGTGGGGAATCGAACCTGGGTTTTCGGCGTGACGATCTTTTAACAACATGGCTACCCCACCGCCCCAAAAGATGAAAGAAAAGATTGTGTATAACAAATATGTACCGTATTTGACTACAGAGGCCAATCCAGGAATTTAAATGAGGGGGTGGGGGTGGCCATGTTACAAAATGCCCAGGCCACCAAATGATGTGGCTGAGGGTGTTAGAGAATGTAAGGTGTCTGAAAAACAGAAGGGTAGAATTGAGAAAAATCTCCATAAGAATTTAATCATTACACATGAAGTAAGTTTGTAGAGAATTGAACAAAAATGCATCCAGAAAATTCAGACTGCCCTCCCTATCAGGGAAGACAACTCTATGAACAATATGAAATCCCTGTAGTTTTGGTCCATGGACTCAACATTACAAGTTCAAACCCAGCACCCACCTGAGAATTGTTTGTTTTTTGTTTTAAATTGTTTCTGTAGATACATGCTAATTTGGCATTTATTCATCTGGATTAAATTATTTGTTAATTGATTCCTTTGTATTGGGAATGTTAGCACTATTTCCTTGGATATATAGATTTATTCATATTCATTGTGAAAAATATGTTTGGGAGAAATGATATCTTAAAATCAAACTTGTCATGACAGTAATTATGTAAAAAAAAAATAATGATAATAATGTAATATGATAGAAATATCCTGCCAATGACCTTAAATCAATAGCTTTGCATAGCTTGTACCACTTGATCATAGATCAAATCTTTCCACTTCACCTTAAATATGGATTCATACCAATAATTACCACCCATCACATGAATCTATTTTTGTGAAAATGTTGTTGATGTTAGAGTCAAAATGAAATCCTTAAATTTATCAATAATTTGCCAACAGAAAGGGATCATTCAACATTTTGTACATATTTGTCTTTGAGTTTATATACAAATATATATATATATGTGTACTCCTTGCATTCATGCACAAATATTGGATGCATTATGCATACATATGGAAATCTTACTTAAATATAAATATCAGCTGGACTGAGATTCAATATATGGATTGAGGATTCAAGGGGGGAAGTGTTTTGTTTTGAACCATTTATGTCTTAAGATTGAATTTAGATGTATATTATTTGTTTTGTGACTAAAAACATTTTCATGATTTGGGACACTAAATTATAGCAGAGGATGTATTCTCTGCATCCTCGATAATCTCCAGAGTTTACGTTCCGATAAATCTCCACTATATATATTATCGAGGATGTATTCTCTGATAATAGGTAATAATATTGATAATTACCAAACATGATATGAAATGGAAATACAGTGTTTAATTTGTGAACATTATTGAAACTGTCTTCTAAAACTTTTAAACATAATCTCAGCGTAAAGGAATCAGGTTCGTGACTTGTAACTGAATGTGCGTCACAGTGGGAATGATATGGGCATCACAATCGGCCTTGACACAATCTCCTGTTGGATCCACTTTGAAACTGATGCTCCTTCTGCTGCACCTGCTTTGTATCACGCTTGAAACACTGCTGCCATCAATGGTGTTGAAGCTATGTCTGTCTGTATGCCTCAGCACAGAAGCAGAGCTAACACAGAAGCAGAGCTAACACAGAAGCAAGGATGGTGAGGAAGGAGATGCTTGTGACATGAGAACTACCGCCATGGGATCTCGACTCGGCAGAACGATGGTTATTGTTTTGAGGAATGTTGTACCGTGGCAGACTCGGCTCATTCTTTGCTGCAACAATCACCTGCTGAACACCGATCTTGAAACTTCTCTGAATAAGGCGGCCATTGACTGGTTGGATCGGACGAAAATTGTCACCTAGTTCTTCTTGGATGTATTCAATGTACTCCTCATTGGCCTCTGTCTTTGCCTTGAGTTCCTCCTTGGCCTGTTTGTTTTCTTCTTCCTTCTCCTTGAGATGTCGGACCATGTTGTCCTGGGCCCTCTTGGCCGAGTCCTCATCCAGTTCTGCTGGGTCTGTTGAAGATAGCTCTGTGGTCGCATCTACAAGGGCTGATGGTGTCTCAGGCATGACGGTTGATGCAGCCAGTTTTACTTCCAAATCGACCTTGAGTTCATCCTCTGCCATGTGGTTGCCATGGATACCAAGTTCTTCAAGAACTTTTTCTGCGTTCTTTTCAGCATTGGAACGCTTGATGTGCCTTCTGTGGTGATTGTGCTTACGGGCATGTTTCTTGTGCTTGGGCTTAAGCACATTGCGGAACTTCAGAAGCTGAAATTACAACAAATGGTATTGTTTAACAGGGATCTAGTACCCTGAGTCCTTATGTCAATATCCGTAAGAATATGGAGTTAGTGTTCAGGAATTAGTTCTATGTGGAAATTAACACTAAAACATGTTTATTAATCTACTGTTTTCAGAAATTAGCAAGTGGAAATTTACATCTCATCTTTAATTGTGTTTAACATGCATTGACTTTTGGCCAAGAGGTCATTAGATAGAAAACAGTCAAAATGGATTGTCAGGTTGAAAAATAGCACAGGTCAAATGTAATTCTTGAACAATAAACCATGCGTCTTTGAATGAATCAGGAATCAAAATGTGTCACATTTTTCCTCGGAGAATAGCAAAAAACGTCAAGGATAGCAGAAAATGTCAACTGCCAATGTCTCGGAACAAATTTACTCCAAAGACCAAGTCCGAACAGCTCAGTATCAAATGAAAGTCATGTACATACCTGATCCAGTGAGATCTTTTGACGCTGTCTGAAGACAGTCCATACAACACTCTCAAAGCATCCAGGTGTGGTCAAGGAGCCATTGTAACGGTAGTATTGAGCTGTATCCGCGGGCAACAGATTACGGAGTGGGATTGCTTTTATTTCCACAAGATTCTCATCATCTGGAAACAGAGAAAAATAATTAAAATTATTTAAATTAAAACTGACAACAACTAAGGCTAAAAATAATTTGAAAAATCAACATAAAGATGTTACGTTTAGGAGAAAATAAATTCCTATTTCAACCTATTAAAGAATTGGTATATACACTGATGAGATGTTCTTCTCCCACCTGCCAAAACCTAAGTGACACGTGTACCTTGTGTTTGATGGGTAATTAATCAATTCACATCAAACGCCTGCCGAGGGATTAACAATGAATACACTTAGTCATGCGGAAAAGAGTACTGATATGACACTTACGCATGCACATGCGCACAGATCTTTCTGTCCGAATAACCGGATCACTTTTCATTGTAATTCTATGGGAATGGTTTGAAACTTCTCCGTCCGGATCCAGAAGCGCGGGGTCTGGCTAAGCGAGTACAATTAATGAAGGTAAGTTTTGTTTCAACGAAAAATTGTCCGGAAGGCGGGATTTCCGGATATATGGGGTCCGAGTAAACGGGGTTCGACTGTAGGTGCTTTGCTTTAAGTATCTATTTAATTTAGACAGTCTATCAGTAGACGTGAAGATCCAGGTTAGAATTGGTTTATGGCAACCCATAAGAGTCAACTAACAGGGTCATCATATTCAAATTGTGTAGATCGATGCTCATGCTGTTGATCACTGGATTGTCTGGTCCAGACTCTATTATTTACAGGCCACCGCCATATAGCTGGAATATTGCTTAGTGCGGCGTAAAACAACAGACAAACATCCATGTCTTCCATGGGTAATTCATGCCGTTTGAATCCTCAGTCAGGGCCAGTGACTTGTATTGTAGAGCCCCACTTGTGTAAACTTCATCTTATATGTACTTGGTTTGAAATGTTCCACTTTCTGTGAAGCAGGGTGTTAATTCACTCCTTAGATGACAGTTGGCACCTTCATTAATGTATGAGGCCAAATTCACATGTGAGTTTAAATTAATGAGTGAGAGCAGATGTACAGTTATAATTCAGCTCACAGCCTGTTACTGAAGCACGGTCAAGTCAAGGTCATAGTTGTTTGTCAAGTTTAGAAATCAGACGGTTGTGGGGGAGACAAACCGAGGGTCAGGAGAGCAGTCTGGGATTCAAACCAGGAATCTGTTGCCCTGGCACGGAAATCAGTTCATGTTACGAGAAGTTTATCCTGAGTCTGGTCTGGTGACTTGTTCTGAACTTCCCTTACTGTGTATTATGAAGTACCGAAGTGATTGTGTGAGAAATAATTAAACAATGTTTATAATGAACATGCTCTTAACGAAGTGATGGATATAATGAAGTTTATATTTTGTCCTGCTGTATGTTTTAGTTGAAATGCGTATATTTTTCCCGAACTACAGTTACCAGAATATCAAAATAAAATTAGTGGTCTCTTTCAGTTCATTATACTGACTGACTGAGTTTAGTTTTACGCCGCTTTTAGCAATATTCCAGCAATATCACAGCGGGGGACACCAGAAATGGGCTTAACACATTGTGCCCATGTGGGGAATCGAACCTGGGTCTTCGGCGTGACGAGCCAACGCTTTAACCACTAGGCTACCCCACCACCCCTTCAGTTCATTATAATGACCCTGGTAGTGATTGATCTTCACTAACCCATGCTTGTCGTAATGGGATCGGGTGGTCAGGCTCGCTGACTTCGTTGACACATGTCATCGTATCCCAGTTGCGTAGATTGATGCTGCCATATAGCTGGAATATTGCTGAGTGTGGCATAAAACTAAACTCACTCACTCATTTATCGTTATAAGCGTAGTTAAGTTGATTGGAATCATCCTTACCTGGGTCCTTGACCTCCTCCATGGCTTCCAGGATGGGTTTTAACACTTTATTGTCTTCGTCAACAATCTGCAGACAGAAGGGATGAATAAGTGTTCTTCATGTGTTCTTCATTGGATGTCAAACTCAAACGGCACATCGTATTATCAATCTCAACTCCCAGGGGAGTATACAACTGCAGCTTAACATGTTTCTTACATGTTAAAAACAGAGCAGTGAGGTTTGTTTATTTGTAGGTAATTATACCCATTAAAACTGTGGTATGGTATCTCAGTGGGCTGTGTTTTTAAAACCGGTAACCCTGTTGACAACTACATGCACCATGTATACACATCAGTATGCAAGTGAAATACTCCTGATTGCAATGTTAGACCCCAATTCTTGTGACCATACAAGCTGGCTGTCAGGAACAGCCTAGCCCATCTCACAGTGCTTGAACCATACTATTTTCCCTATGACCAGCCCTTCCTGCAATGCTAAAACCATAAAGGAAGCAAGTCTTATAAGATTTGTGATAAGGTTCAGCAATCTCCCATCTCACTGACGCTCCTTTTTAATTTATATGTTTCTTACATAATTATATATATTCAGAGACTAGTTGCTAGTTTAGGAACAGCCCTGTGTATAGATCTGTTACTAGGGTCATGGTAAAGAATATTCTGTTTACCTCGAAGAGCACCCCAAGCACTGCAAGCCCCATGGGTTGAGTCGCAGCCTCAGAGATGGTGCCGAACAGGTCGGTGTTGAAGTTCACGATATGAAGCTGAAAATGAAAAATGTTTTTATAAAGGGACATTGAAAATCTGAGACAATTGTCATTGGAAACAGCTGTGAGTTCACAAGAAGATATGTATCATTTTCTTTGTGTCTGTGTTAGTTTTAAGTGTGATAAGTTCAAATGTGTTAGCAAGATTGTGTTGGAGCTTAAACAATTCAGAAGTTGAAACTTGACTCCTACAGCACTGTGTCCACTCACAGTCCCTCAACCTCATTATCTCCCCTTCCGTAATGCTGAAGCTTTGAATGAAGCAAGTCTAGATATCCTCTGGTTCTCCCATCTCAATTGTGGCTCCTTTCCAATATAAAGGATTATAGTGACTGAGCATTAGTCTATGTGTACACTGTGATCTCCGGCAAAGTATTTCAAGATCATCTTAGAAGGTTTTACAATTCATTCAAACAGTTACATTACACCAACATTCACATTTCCTCTATTTTCAAGCTTGCCTATGAGTTTTCTTTGTTGTACATAAGTCAACCAATAGGTTGGTTTCTTTTTATTTGGAAACAGTAATGAAATTATGTCAAAGCATGGCAGGCTAATGTATGATAGTGTCATCCCAGAGATTTGTTGAAACTCAGGTGATCGTTATGAACCAATGGTGGGAGAACTTTGCCATATCCGTTGGATGCAACTCTTTCCATGATCCTTAGACCAACAATAATATAAAATAAATTAACTTATATAGTGCCTGACTTGCAACTTAAGTAAACCAATCGGTGGGCCTGGGAGGAGTCTGTTGCAGATATGCCTCTATGGCTGAGATAATTGGAGATAAATGGAAGATGCAACTCTTCCCACGATCCTCAGACCAACAATAATATAAAATAAATTAACATATATAGTGCCTGACTTGCAGCTTAATTAAACTGCTCAGCACACTGTAAGGAGTCTGATATAGATGAGTGTCACGGAAGACATCATTTTGAAAGAAGAACGGAGGATGTCAGAGTTTGTGGAAGCTCTGATGAAAAGAAGTAATGAGGACGAGAAAACACTGAGAAATATTGTTTAGGTGTCTTGTATAATTAAATACATGTCAGCTGAGTTTAGGTTGTGACTTGACATGTAAATTGAAAGTAGAGCTTGAAGATACTTTGGGCACTGTGGATCATCATGGTGATGTTGAGTGTGACTACCTCTAGAGGATGCGCCTGTCCCTCGATGCGGTGTTCAGAACCCTGATGGTTCTTGTGCCCCCAGTGGAAGTGGAACTGGGCAGTCTTGTAGACATATGGCAGACCTCCATTGGTTACGAAGAAATCACCCATGGTGTCTACTTGCACTGGGAAAAGAACGGGGTTGAATATAACTTGTGGGATAACATGATGCACTGGATAATGCAGTATGATAAGGCGTGGAATATTGGATAAGACACGTGGTACCAGGCATGGGGTCAAGGCCACAAGTCTACACCTGATTTGAATTGATCGGACTACAATAATAACTTCATTTACAATGCAAACATTTCCTGTTAAATCATTGAGATTAGCATATTTCTGGATTAACAAACGGGTGATATAGTTGTGTATCCATGAAGGTATTCCAAGCAGCTAGTGTCTGAATGGTTGGGATTTGGACTAAAGATGATTCACTGTAATTCAAGAGGAAGGATTATCTATTCTGCAGCGTCCTATTCTGTTATGGGCCCCATAAGTTTACTGTCATAAGTTTACATTAAAGTTACGATGGCTGTTACAATCATCTTAGCATTGTGGAACATTGCCCGATGTTGAAACTGTTCAATAATGCTGGGACACATTCCACAAAGTGATCGTAATGCTACAACTGTCATAAGTCTAAGTATGCTAAAGTATGGGAGTTACAACCACCTAAACACTACGATCAATTTATGGAACATTGCCCGATGTTAAAGCAGGTTGATTGAATATCAGATAACGGTAGCTTGGCACCATATTATGAGCCTTTAATTTATCACAATTTCTGGAGATAAAAGACTGGATGTCATCTAAGGGTCTGGTGCTTACCTGCGTGTCCATTGTTCTTGACAAACATTTTAGCATTGTCCTTGGGTGGGTCATACCAGATGGCAAATTGTCGGAGGTTTGGGTTGTACATGGTCTCCTCGGGGTTGATGTTGATTGGGGATTGGAGGTTGCCTGAGCAGGCTTCGGGGAACAGCTCATGCCAGTGTCCAGGACCTGGGGAACATTCATGTAAAACTTCCGCTAGAACTAGTCATCTATGTTGTTTAACAAACGAGCTAACAACAATTTGACGGATATGACAAACAGATTTGTGGTTCCAGCCAGTTTCTGTAAATGTTATTACAGATCATCAAAATGATTATAATGAATAATGTTTATAACAGACCAAAATTAGTGGTCTCTTGGAGTATGTTATACAGTTGTTATACGTGCAGACAAGAAGGGAGACGTATGACATGAATTGGTTCTATATGGAACAAGTTTTTATGGATAACAACTTCTTTATTTCGTGAGTGCGACGTTTCATACAGATTCTTGTACCACACTCTTGCTTGACAACGGTACAAGAATCTGTATCGAAACGTCGCACTCACGAAATAAAGAAGTTGTTATCCATAAAAACTTGTTCCATATTGTACGTCTCAACTTCTAAAATGCCACTCAAACAAGTCATGAATTGGTTCTGTTGAACTTACTTGACAACATACAAATAACAACATGAGCAACTCAAGCAGGATACTGAACAACTCAAGGCACTTATACACATCTAGTTTATAAACCATATAACTCATTCTCACAATGTAGAGGTTTAAAACACAGAACTGACAAATCAGTTTGAAACGTGTAAATTAATTTCAAACCAATTTCTTGACTCTTCAATTTTGAAAATGTATGTGTGTCTAATAAGAGTTTGAAACTTCTACATTGAAACACAAGATTGTCTTTATTCTTCAATGACTCAGAGATAAACACAAACTTGTTAGTAGAAATGTCTGTGATGTGGCATATGTTGAGGCTAATGTTTTAAGTATTCTGGAAGGGCAGATTCAGGGATGAGTGAAGATTGGTGTAAGTGTATGGGAGCTGTGCCCAAGCACAAGAAAGATGTTTACGATATGTACCGTACCTAATCTATAATAAACTATGTTTACAACAAACATGCTAATAATATAGTGGTGGCTATAGCAAATTCTTTTTGGGTCCAAACCACTTGTATATGTTAGTAAAATTTGTATTACAAGCTTCGACTTTACCAAACTAATGAATGGTCCCTATGGTAAACCGATCACAATGCAGGATTCAAGTATGTCATGGTAGAATGTAAAATATTTCATTTTTTCAAAGACTAAAAATTAATATAGCTATATCTCAAAAAGCAGTCGGTATTCCACATATGACATGTTGTTCAAGTCATGCCGCTTAAAGAAGTCATGTACCCGTGAAGATTCGGGTTAGAATTGATCTTCATGTTGTTAATCAGTGGATTATCTGGTCCAGACTCCATTATTTACAGACTGCCGCCATATAGCTGGAATATTGCTGAGTGTTGCGTAAAACTAAACTCACTCACTCGCTAGAGAAGTCATGCAGTTTGAAGCAGAAATAGAAGTTGACAGTGACACAGATTTCACTTTTAAAATTTGTCTAACATAAAATTCCTACAGGACATGTTTGTTTCCATGGATATTTCATTTGTGTATGGTAGTATATGCTGAAAATATTGTTCAGGATAATTTTGTTAAACATTTGGCAATTCGGGCAAAATATAGCATTGGTATATGCTAAAGAATATAATAAAAATTGTTCAAACAAATTTTCAGAGACAGCAAAATTACCCTCAGTATGTTTTAAGGATATTCGAGAAATGAGATTTTGTGAGCGGATATATACAAGTGCAGGGTGACATGCTTCTACAGTGTGTTGAACACAAACAGCTAGAGTTTGATGTGCATAAAGCAATATTGACACAGCCTCTCTGCCCAGTGCAGCATACAATGTAAAAGCCGCAGACTGAAATAGATTCAGGTGTGTACAGCGACGATTGAAATGTGATAGCCTCATGAATAACAGTTCAATTCTTGTACTTCTGTGCAGGATGACGTCAACTTCTACCCACTGAAGTACAATGTGTGAAGCCCATTTCTGGTGTCCCCCGCCTGATATCCTCGTTAGGATGAGAAAGCCACAATAACTCGGTGCGCCCTAGTGGCAGCAAGAGTTGTATACTCCCCAGGGAGTTGAGATTGCTAATACGATGTGCAGTTGATATTGACATCCAGTGATCGAGGGAAAAAAAATACTAGCGCCTTGAGCATGCACTAGTGCGTGGATATGTGCGCTATATAAATATCCTATAATAATAATATTGCTGGAATATTGCTAAAAGTGGCGTAAAACCAAACTCACTCACTCACTCTACCCACTGAAGGAGATATTTACATAATTGCATGAAAATACAGGACTGTCTTTTGTGTTTGAGCTTTTAACTAATATCGTCTTACCTTGCATCCTTGATACAACTTATAAGCAGCATAAAGATAAATCAAATATCAATTATAAAATATAATTATAGAGATAAGGCGTGTTTCTCAAATACATGTTTTTTTGTAATGTGAATCATCTTAATTTGTCATATGTAATTGTATGTGGTACTTTTCTGCATATTGTATGAGAGGACAAAGTTTATTGAACACAGGATAAAGAAGACCCTTTTCTTTACAATAATGAGTTTTAGGTGTTTTTATATAATGTAAAAGAGAACTACAGATTGACTGTTGTCTGGATTTTATGTCCCACAAATCAGGTACAGTACAACCAGAAATTATTGAGAATTTAAAGATTGTAATATTTTATATTTTTTTCACTCATTACTCACGTATTTATGTGAATATTAGCAGAACATAACTCCAGATTCAAAGACAGGTGAACAGTTAGTATTTTGTCAAGTCACCATGGGCATCAATGCAGGCTTCAATGCGGCGGGGCATACTACTGATCAAAGAAGTTAGAAAGTCGTGGTCCATGCTGTCCCAATATCGGACCACCTCTTCTTTCATTTCAGCAATATTTGTCAGATTTTTCTTATTGACACTTCCTTCATAAGTCCCCAAACATTTTCTATTGGATTTAGGTCAGGGCTATAGCTTGGCCAATCTAATAATGTCATATTTTGGGTCCGAAACCAGGCCTGTGAATGCTTTGAACGATGTTTTGGGTTGTTGTCCTGCTGGAAAATCCAAACATTTCCATAGAACACGTGAGCAGATGGAAGTAAATGTCCCTCGAGAATATCTGTGTACCGCTTACTGTTCATATTTCCTTCAAATATACAGAGGGGCGTTGCCCTTAACGCAGATATGCCACCTCACTCGTTAAATTTCGGACTGTACTTTGGGCGCTGATACAAAGGTTTTTCAGTAAGTTTGGTCCAGAATTTCAGTGTATTAGGAAACAGCCACACAGAACTTTCATCAGAGAAAATCACATTGTCTCAGTTAATATTTCTATGCTGTAAGCACCAGTTCAACCTTCGCTCCTTTTGTTCAGGTTTCATGATCGGTGATGGAATTCCTCAACTTTTCTGCCAACCCATTGCATACAGCTCAGTTCTAATTGTCTCCTTACAGACAGCCACAGTTCCTCTATCAATCATATCCAGCCTTAAGTTTTCTAAACTCCTTCGTTTGTTTTTAGAAACAAGAATACCAAGCCACCTCTTGTCACCGACAGTCAATTTTCTGGGCCTACCTGCGCCTCCCTGGTGCTCAATGCCATATCCATTTGCAATATTTTTCAAAACACGATAAACAGTGGACAAAGGGATGCCTGTTCTACTTGAAATCACTTTAGCTGATCTGATGTCCTTGTTATAATACTCTAAAATCAACTTCCTCTTCTCTAAATCATCCATACTGAAGATCACTGAAAATGTCGTCTGCTAGCAAGTAAACAAAGAGGGATAACTCTTCACAAACTAATGAAAAACGATTAACAGAGTTGTCTCTCTTGAATGAAACCAAGCACTTGATAGCTGGTCAAGGTTGTTTATACTAGAAATCCAATTAAACATATTCCTAAAATTCTCAATAATTTCTGGTCATACTATGTGTAAAATGGAAATAATGTGTACACTGGCAACTAAAGGTCAGAGTAGATGGTACCATGATAAACTGTCTTCACATGCACGAATACTCTTTTCTCATGTTTATTCATGAGGCTATACTGAATACAACGACCAGTGTCGTGAAACTGTTCTAGGGTCAAACTGTTGACACAATGGCTTTGAAGTTGGTCATGAGAAGTCTTTGTGTCCCAGCTGATCGTATCTGGGAGTTATACTGCTTTTAGAGATCACGAGTGTTGGACTAGTCCTCTTTATACCTGTGAGAGATGTGGAGATGGGGTAACTTACATCTGATCGAGTGATAGGATAACGTACCTGTATCACCTTTGTAGCTCCATTCACTGCAGCTTGTCAAATCTGTAATAAATAATGTATAAATATGTATCAGCAACAGAAACTTAATCAATAGATAGATTTCATTCTCAACTCCTTGAGGAGTATACAACTACAGTATCTCTTTCTAAATAATTGAATCAGCATGCATTCAGTTTTTATTCTCAGCTCCCTGAGGAGCACACAGTATTTCTTTCTAAACTGTGGTACACATGGTACCAGAAAGAAACGCCAGTTTGGCAGGGAATGCTAATATTCAGTGAGCAACAGAACAACAATGTATTCACATTAAGACAGGTCAAGGGACAACAAATTATGTTGAGCAATAGTCACTCAGTTTCCTTTGTACATTATTTGTGTTTCTATCTATAGCATTTTTGTAGTGTTCATATGTTAGCTCATGGGTATATTACAGCATTATTTTTATTTTAGTGGTATGTTTTGTGTAGCGAGGCATAAGAGTTATGCCCCTTAGGTCATGGAGTGGGATATAAATGACCAAGCATGGTCAACCAATGTCACCATGTGCGAAATACGCATCATGTTGGAAATGACTCATAAAATCTCCAAGTCATCATCATCATCATCATCATCATCATCATCATCATTTTGTGATTATCAACTACTTAAGACAAAACAATTGTCTCAGCAACTACTTCCAAGTGATGTCCATTTTCAGAATTGCTGTCTTTTTATCCCCCGCAACAACGAAGTTGCAGGGGATAGAGAAACGACTTTCGTCCGTTCGTCACACTTTGTCTGAAGCATATCTCCTAAACTATTGGTGGTAGCTTAACTAAACTTGGTACACATGTCAGCCATGATCCCTAGATGTGCCTTTTTGGAGTTAGACCCAGATATTAATGTTATTTTTTGCGGTTTCCATGGAAACATGACTTAGGCTGTGGCTATGAGGATGTCATCTTGTCTGGAGCAGATCTCCTAAACTATGCATGCTAACTTCATCAAAATTGGTACACATATCAAGCATGATCGCTAGATGTGCCTTTTGGGGGGTTAGACCCAGATATGAATTTTATTTTTTGCTGTTTCCATGGAAACATGACTGAGTCTGTGACTATGAGGATGTCATATTGTTGCATTTCCATGGCAACAAGTTAGGCTTCAACTAAATTTGGTTGTAGTGCTCCTTTCTGGAGCAAGTCTTAAAAACATTTCAATACTCTCCTTCCACTTTGCTGTATACACTCCAAAACATTTGACATAATCATAACTAGTAGACATTTTCATAAAGAGTATTTTGCCGTTGTGGGGGATATTGATGACTTTGTCTTCTTGTCTGTGGTGCACTGTGTAGTATATACATAACTGTTAAAAGTCACTGTTAATCCATGATTAGACGTGTCGATACAAGGCTAGTTCATTGAGTACATGTTATAGCCTATTGCTAAGTGATTGTTCAATGCAGTATTGTGAAGAGGATTATTTCCATGTAAGTTAGTAACTGAAACTGACATATGGTGGAATCCAGAATAGACAAGAGCCGGATTAGGCATTATCACTACAATCAGCCTGACAGAGTCAGCTTGAGTTTCATTCTCAGCTTCCTGGGAGACATACAACTATACTATATGCCATAATATTCTTCGCAAGTAACATTCCGCCCCTTGATTCTGGGATACATAATAACTTGTAATTCCTGCTCCTAAACATATTTACAGAAATTCTTTTGTAATAACATGTATCACCAGAAATGATTGCCAGAAATATGACTAGAACACGAAAAAAAGAAAATATTTTTTTAAGTCATTGACTTTCATGGATAAATTATAGACAAAACATATATTCATTATTACCATGAGGAACATCTGTATAGAATTATTTGGTGAATGATTTTAAGATATTTTAAACATGTCACTAACAATGTTAGAGAAGGTTGTGGGAAACATGACTTGTTTATGTTTATGAAACAGATCACATTACAGAAGAAATATTACGACATTAATGACATGAAAATATTAAAACATTACGGTCAGAGTATAATCAGTTCTGTTGAAACAGATACCGGGATGTAAAAGTCAGCCTTGGTGGAAAGTATAAGATTAGATTCAGAGAAGATGCCCGACTCTGTTTCTCAAAGTGATTGTGGAACTACGACTTTCGTAAGTCTAAGTATGTGAAATGTGGCCCGATGTTAAATTACTCATAGCGCCCACAACTCTGTTTTGAAAAGTAAATATTAGTTTGTTGCCACAGTATGTAAAAGGCAGTGAAGGAAAGTAGGAGAATAGATCTCTGAAAACTAGTGAAGACGCGCCAGCCTTTTCTCAAATCAATTGCAGCACTACGACTTCGTAAGTCTATGTAAGTGAAACGTATCCCAGATGTAAAATGGTAAGCCAGTCCTGCTCCCTTCAATATTAGTTTGTTGCGACAGTTGTAAAAGGCAGTAGCGATGGAAAGTATAGGAATATATCACTGAAAATGCCTGGGCTCTGTTTCTCAAAGCGATTGCAGCAATACAACTTTCGTAAGTCTATGTATGTGAAACATGGCCCAGACGTAAAATGCTAAGCCAGTATTGCTCACCCACAACTCAGTTTGTTTAATAAAGTAAATATTAGTTTGTTGCCTGTTGCCACACAACGGTACTCCTGACTCACAGCAAGCCATCAAATCTTGACCATTACATAACATGACGAAAACTGCCCATGGGTGACATTGACTAGACAGGTTATTATTTTATTCCAACCCTAAATGAGCCATAATTCAGCAATATGAATAGTTTGGTAGGTTATATTTTATTATTTTCCACATTTGTTGTGGTAGATAAAAGATTAAAATTTGAAGTTGTCAAACTGTGTGTGGAGAGTGTATGTCAGTACAATGCAATACACTTGTCATAGCTGGATTCGTGTTGGAGTAAGCACAAGAACTGAGTCTTGTTGAATACATAAACAAGCTAAATCTATTTGGTGGGATTGAGCGGTAAGGTGCAAACTTTCAAACAAAGAAACTTGTGTTTGCTGAGAAACAAGTCTGTAAACGATACCGGTAAATATTGACTATCATGTAAATTTTCTGTCTGGGTAGGGGACTGATTGACTCGTTTATTGTCTCCTTGATTGACTCATTGATTGACTCTTCGATTGACTCTTTAGAATGTCTAGGAACTTTAGAGACGCATTGAGAAGTTGGTTGAGGTAGTTGGGGGTTAGTAGTGATGTCCACCTTCACTTTTGAATAAATATCATTTTTATGGAATGTGCCTCATCACCTTGTATGGCAGTCTGATATTTATGCAGATTGTGAAATAAGAGAGCATCAGTTGAAGAAGTAACAATACTATGTCTGAATGATTTGAAAGGACCACTATTATAACCGTCTGCATATTTTATTCCATGAAGTATCTGTCAGTGTGACTTTCCGTCAACCATCAGTTGTTATTCACTGTCAAGATGGAAATTGACTTCATTTTGCATAATGGCGTGCAATATAGAGTATGTGTGTTTGCCTTGTTAATGATGGAATGAAAAGTATATTCTGTTTTCCTGGTTAGTTTAAAGGATGTGTGGAAATGATTTCTCTATTGAAAATCAGCCCTTTTGAAAATAGGATGGCACTTTCTTTAAATGCTCCCATATCAATTCACTTGCCGCTTAGATAATGTATGAGTGGTGTATGTTTCAGATCTCACTTAGAAGGAACTGCCAAATAGTACAATCTTTATTAAGGATATTTCATGCAGTATGTTACGAAATATTTGAGTCAATTCAGCAAAGTGTTCTGCTGTGATGAGTCAGTGAAATATGCAGGGTCTGGGATGTTTGGAACTACCGTATATTACTGTCTATAAGCTGAATTTTGAGGACCAAAAAAAAGCAGTCTGTAGAAGGGGGTCGTCTTATCCATGGGTTACGCTTTCGTCAAACTTTTTTCCAGGGGTAAGAAAACAACATCCTATCACTTCGCGTGAACAAACAACAGAAGAAGACTTTGTCAGTAGAGACGTCAAATTTGCAATTAAACATCACTAGACAAGATTATTTACCTTTTAAGTTCTAAGTTGTTTTTGCTGGGCATTGTATTATTTGCAGGGATTAAGATTACCGTGTGTATCTGAGCCGGAAATAGCAATCAGCTGTGCACATGTTTCCCGGCAATCAAGTTAAAAAATGCACAGATAATATAACGGGACGAATTCTGACGCAGTCATCAGTAAAATATAATACAGAATACTATTATTTAACCCAAAGAAATATATCCTAGCATTGTGTAATCTTAGTTACAGTTTTTTGCTCTATAAATTAATTAAGATTAAGATTACCGTGTGTATTTGAGCCGGAAATAGCAATCAGCTGTGCACACGTTTCCCGGCGATCAAGTTCAAACATGCACAATAATATAACGGGACGATTTCTGACGCAGTCGTCAGTAAAATATAATACAGAGTACTATCATTTAACCCAAAGAAATATAACCTAGCATTGTGTAATTTTAATTATAGTTTTTATGTAAAATATATATAATCAACACTAAGGTTATACGTGAACGTGGTAAGCAGAAGTTGTACGCACATGGAATGGGGTAAAATACGGAAGCCATTTAAATTCACACATTTTTACCGATGTTACTGTAAACTAGCAGTCAATAGAAAACGAGGCGGTAATCAGTTCGTGATTGTTGAATGGGGTAAAATAAGCAAGCCAGTTTGTTGCTACAATAAATATGATATTTAGAGAAGCAAAATATATTATGCATTTTCTGTCAACTACATTTCGTTTCGATCCGTGAGTAGACACAATATATATGATTGTGAATTCTTTGAATAATGTGGACCAAAGTTATCATTATTGGTAACTGCCAGTTGTCTGTGGTCTGTGTTTGCCGGGATTAGGACCCCATCGCGGGGGATCGACTTATGCACGAAACATACCATTTTGACACTGATTTTAAGGGTCAAGTTTGGGGGTCGTCTTATCCATGGGGTCGTCTTATAGACGGTCTTATACGGTAGATCAGATTGAATGTGCAGTAAGAATGAAGTACTTAAGAGAAGATTA